TGTCAGATCTGACTGAATCTGTAAAAAAGATCCGCTTAAATATCATTGCTTTTTCATCTTTCAAACGACTAGAACATTTTCCCATTTTCTTAATAGAACACTTACTTGTAATAAAAAAACTGGATTTAAATTCTCACATCTTTCCTGGATTTGAATCCTATTTTTGTCCTCCAATGCGAGAGATATCCTTCAAGTTGATTCCTCAACGTTCCCCTCGTTTTTCCAGAGCTCTAAGACACAAGTATAGCACGTGAAATAACAGCTTATACGTACATGCAAGCATGCATTATGAAATTTTGGAACACGATTGTTGATTTAAAACGTACTTCTGCAAGCTTTACATTGTCACGAATTGATAAACGATCTTCTTCAGTCTCTGGTGGCTGAAGGAAAGATAAAAACTTTCCAACAAAATTGTTTCTTTACAAAAAGGTTTTACACTTCTGAATGAATTACCATTTAATTATTTCCTCAGTGGGGCAGTTTGCACAGTTTAAGGATGAATGATGGAGTTTAGTTACCAAAGCAGTTGATACCACTTAGTCATGAATACGATTGGTTAGTCAGAATCACCTCAATGGGTTTTATGTAAATAATGGCCCTCGCAAAAAAGTTTTCAAAGATTTCTTACTTCGTCAGGGCTTTCAAGGTAATAGAACAAACCAGCAGGCTGTGAAAATCGTATTCAAATTTATTACATAATTGTTTATGAACCAAAAATTATGAACAGGAAATCTCGCATTTAAACTTTCTTGTATATTTTAGACATTAAAACTACTTTAATACGAACATTATTCTCGCAAGTAATGCCATTGCTGTTGGATGATGCTATGCCAACAATAATGATTATAAATTACTTATGGAGTATGCTTGTTAGTCTCAATTGAACTATTTACAGATGGCTAGTATATAGAGGATTATAAAATCACAAGTTTTAAGATTAATCTGAGAATGTTGCTAAAAACAACTCAGGTCCTGCGGATGGAATAGAGGCTATACCTCTGCAACAATTTGTTAATTTATCACACTAATTCGCACCTGTTCAATAGCGAACGTCTATCAGTGCTTTGCGTAAACATGGCCATGCGTAAGCGTTTTGGTAGAGCGCCCTCGGCAAGCGCCAGAACTTGTATTTTTGCCGCGGGTTCTTCATCAGCTTCCTAAAGTGAAGTTCTAACTAAATATTAACAGATGATTTTAGGCACTTCACACGATGCAGGAATATTCTTGAGGTTTTTAAAGGGTCTTAATTTCGAGTGGTATTATACGCACTTCAAATTCAAGCAGGGAACAGTTGATGGAAAAATGAGTCAACTGTACGTCCTCAGTGACAAGAGCATTGCACCGGCATTGCAAAAGCGTAGGTTCGATTCCTGCCGGAGGATCTATAGTTCACTCATTTTTCCGTCATCTGTTCCTGGCTTGATTTGAAGTGTGTATAATACCTCTCAAAATTAAGACCCTTTAAAACCTCTTAAATATCAACTGAACTAATATGTACATTCATCACGGCTAAAAACATGCAGAGCGTTATAAATGACGTTCGTCAAAGGCGGAAACTCAATGGATGAATGAATGAATAAAACGTACCTCGATTATCTCCTTCAGAACCATGTCAGCACCTTTCACAATTGTTGTCGACGGATGCTGAAATTGTTGAGGAACGAATTCAAAACCACGATTGGTAAGAACCATTAGCGGGGCAATAGTAAAACATACATAAGCGAAGAAATGGTAAAATTGGTACTATTATTTAGTTTTGTCGTAAACCTACCTGGAACAATCGATAAATGCAATGACCCATTTCTAGACAAACAAATAACAGACTTCATGAGTTGCTCCTATGCATGGGTCAAGCTAGTGGACGTGGTAAACTTCACCAAAAAGGTAAAGAGAGAAAGGCTATTTAATCAACTCTCAACCTCAGTCAAAGAGCCATAAACTACCAAGAAGACAAGTTGAATGAAAAGCTCCTCAAATTTCTTTGTAGCATACCTGCAACTTTCTCCAGTAATTTCCCAAACTGTTCATCATCTGTTGTCTCACTAAGAGGAATATGCAATAGTCGATTTATTGTAACAGACTACATGAGTTGATTCAAAATATTGGAAGCAATCACACCTTACTATTAGTTTAACATGAATGTCCAACTTCACCCCCGTATTATTTTAATATATTGCAAAGCAACTAGAACAAACCTGTAAGGAGGACACAGAGCAAACGTCAGAAAATCAAGCAATCCACTTATAACTAAAACCCCAGTAGAACGAATATAGAAGAAAAGTTTTCATGGTTAATCTATTTCTTGTGTTTAGTTAGAAAGGTAGTTCAAATTAGAAAGGCAGTTGCTACGAATCACTTGCTGGGTTTTGCAAGGGAATTTCTCTTCCAAAACAAAGCTATATACATACAAGAGGGATGGAAAAATAAAATGCAAGGGTTCAGCATAGATTATAGGCAACCAACACCGCACATCTTACAACATTTATCGTGAGAATTTCCAACAAACTGCTTAGAAATTTTTCAGAGGATAACAAAGAGCTTTTGTTTATCTATTCTTGTCGAATTCATAGTTATCGTGCGTTGGCTATATAAAAAAACAGAATTGGTTTCGATAAAATTGGATCCTGTTAACATTCAGATTTCAAAGTTGGCTGAGTTTATGTGGATTGCAAGTTAAAGGGGTAACACTAATGACAGTGACAGATTTGGCAACATATTACCAGGAAATTCATCGTTAAAGTGTTGGCGCTTTCCTTTATACGGAAAAAACGGCCAGACCGGTCCTATTGTTGATCTCGGTACAGACAGATTAGTGGTATTTTAGAGTGTTTCAAGAACTCTGCGTTCAAGTATATCGTTACTTGCATCTGTCTAGCTCGGAAATTTCGCAACTATATTCTTAACGAAATACTCTATTTTAAATTTAAATATGACCGGTCTGACCATTTTGGCCGCTTAAAGGAAAGCCCTCTCTTTACCTGCATCAGAGCACACAGGATGTCGACAGCGGCGTGAGTCACGGCTTCATTATTCCTCTTCAAAGCTTTCACAGTTTTCACACCAACCTTCTCATAGAAGCTGTAGAAACAAAACAGAAACACGGTCTAGAGAAAGTGAGCTGGTTGAGTAAACAGCGTGTGTTATGGTTAAAGATAAACTTTCTCACCTAGTGAGCGTTGTGAAACCTGCTTTGGATCCAACCTAATGTCTCAAAGCGTGAAACAGTGCTTCGAGATCTTTATCTGATATTTTGTTTTGGTCTCCCTAAATAGACGAAACATTTTAACTATTTTATGTATATATTGAATACCTGTGAAGGTAATAGCAGTCAGAATATGTATATTTTAGGGGTGAACACTAAATATATTTATTGGCAAAGATATACAATACCTTCGTGAGCAATGAGCATTGTGATGGCATTAATGATAAGTCTTTCTTTATTCTCCGGGAAAAGTCCTTACAAAATATTTAAAATCGTTTGAAATATATATTGGAGTTTAAAAGACTTAATATTCCAGCCGTACTTCTGGCGAGAAAAATTCAAATCTACCATTTCATGGATTCGGACCCAGTCAACTCAGCAACCAGAGTTACCGCAGCGTAGTCCCTAGGCCTCTTAACGTTCCTTATACGCGGCGAGGCGGGAACTGAGAGGCCTAGAACAAAATGTTTTGTATTTTGGCTATTTGTCCCCACTTTCTGTATTGAGGTCAGTTTACGATCCACGACGCGGTTAACTGGCCTTGTTCGACGTCGCAAGTCAAATATCTGCTTGAAATAACCTACGGGATATTAATTATACTGTCAGGACTTCGAAATATCCATACAAACGTTTCAATGTCATTTGCTGTCGACGCTATCGACTATCAAGTAAACTCGAGTCCGTGCGTACATGGTTATGATTATAATAAGCTTCAATCTGCCAATTTAAATTATTCTCGCTTCCTTTATAACGATTATTTGTGTAAATCTAGGTCAACTAATGCATACTAAAATAAGCAGAAAACTAACGTGCGTATGAAAAACACGTGAGTGGAAAACAGCCTTAATCCAGATTTTGACAGAACATTAAAACTCAGTAAAAATGCAATAATATTCTTTACACAGGATTTTGTCTGCAGAAAAGTACAAAATAAGAAATTGTCAACTTACGTCTTGGGTGACTGCATGAAGTAGACCGCTGTAGGAAATATTGCAGTTAAATCTCTACACATCTTCGGTTAAATTTCCTGCAAGGAACCAGTAATAAGACAAATAAGCTTTTGGAGATATTTCAAAAATTTAAAGTGAAATAAAAAGAGAAATATTTCACCTGGAGACGCAGCGAGGAATTTTAAATGACTGCTTTCTACTTCTTCGTCAACAACGTTATACAATGGACCCCAACGATAACCTTGAAAAATATATCATCTTAAAAAAACAATTCTTCTTTTGCTGTATGTGATGTATTGGACTGACTAATAGGAATACCTGACGAGAAGTGTAATTGTTTGTGTGTTATATGAGATCCCATACGTCAGGAGGAGAATGAAATGAGGGTTCGTATTTACGGTAATCATAGCTGTGCGAGATTTTCATCAGGAAAATTTTGACCATAATTTTCGCTCAATCATCTATGAAAAAGCGTACAGTACCGTCTCTTCGTTGGGGTCGTTTTTACACAAACATCTCCATTTCCACTGCCTTTAACCCCGTGTAGCTAACCAGCCAATGATATATCCCTAGATTGAGTGAAATACGCACATTCAGAACAAGAAATATTTTATATAGCTTCATACAAAATCTGCTTTTTTAAACTACCTGTCGGAAGACGAGTAATTTCTCAGCTGACCGCTTGTGTATTCCCCTTACGAAAAAAACACATGCAAACCACATGTGTTTCACATGTGTTTCACATGTGATCACATGTGCTTCACATGTGATCACATGTGCTTCACATGTGATCACATGTGATTATATGTGGTTCACATGTGGTTTTATGGAGGGTACATGTGAACCACATGTGCTTCACATGTGATCACATGTGCTTCACATGTGATCACATGTGATCACATGTGATTATATGTAGTTCACATGTGGTTATATGGAGGGTACATGTGAACCACATGTGATGTACATGTGGTTATATTGGATACACATGAGGTTCACATGTGAAAACATGTGGTTCTATGAGGGCACATGTGAACCACATGTGATGCAGATGTGGTTATATGAGATACACATGTGGTTCACATGAGAAATGTCTCTACAAACAAGTGGTTCATATGTGATCACATGTGGTTTATATGCGATCACACAAGGCTTACATGTGAAAATGTATAAACCTATGTGAACGAAATGTGGTTGACATGAAAATGTATTTCAAACTAATAATGAATCAGCAAACTTCTGTAATGTGAATGCATACATATACCACATACCTATTCCCCAAATACACGTGCATAATCATCTAAATAATAGTTACTGCTTTGCTCAGTTTAAGTAACACTGTATATTTAAGTTGTCTTCTTATTTACAATTAATCTCTATCTAACATATTTGGTAATCTACAAATAAAGTTATTTACATCAAAACACTGCTGATTAAGACAATCCAGAAGATGTCTTGTGGATATTCATTGGATTGTCTATATATGCCGGGTTATTTAAATTATATCAAAATTCTGCTGCTTATTAAATGCTATAGTTTACAATAAAACAATAAGATAACTCAGCCTCGTTGGCTATGAGCGAATAGTAAACTCAGCCTCGTTGTAATAATACATTCGTCCTAATATTTATAAATCTGAGGCCAATCTCCGACCGGTGTAATAACCCCAACGACCGACAAGTGTGACGCCACATTAGGCGAAAACCCTGGGAACGAGGTTGCGCATTCGTTTCAAAATTCAAATTTTTTACAACGACATTCTTGGCTGTTCTACGAGGAGATTGCAATTTTATTTGATAAAAGACATAAAAGGATAATCTTTGTCACTCTCCTAATACGATTGGAAATGAAATAGGTGCTGGTTCACTGGATTGAGTCAAATAAGACAAGCATCTTAAAGAAAGAATATATTATTTAAAGACAAAAGTGTGCATGCTAAAACATCCCGAGAAGGATCGCATGGTTTTGTTTGGATACTCAAAGATGAATTCCCCAAAGACGGCATGGAAATCGTATTTTGAAACGTTTTGGCAGAAAGTGGTAAGCATCTCAGTGACACTTAAATAATAATATAAATAATAATTTAACCTAGGTCCGCATCGAATTGTATTATTGTAATCAGAAGATTGTTTATTCAACTTTATCAATCATCATTCATCTTCGTATAAATACTTCGCTCATACACACTAGTGATAGCCGGGAAATATCCTCAATAGCGGTGTAATAATGTTTTAGCAAAGAAAGAAGCAGAACATAGTGACATTATATGCGCTAGAAATATATTGTTTATAGTTTTTTCTAGATCAACATGTCCTTCCAACTGAGACTGGGATATATAGTCGTGTGGAATGTTATCTTCCAAACATGTGCACATCTCGCTCGCTCATACTTAGTTGTGTATAGCAATAAAATATTTGTGTATATATAAATTTTCTAAAGCGAGTATTTGTGTTTTTTCACAGATAGCAAGAATGAGTTACTAATGAAAACTTAGCTTGAATTGAGCAGTTGGAGGATAACAGTGATAATAACAGTGATGATAATAAAGCCAAGAAGAGGCGATTAGATGTGACCAGTGCTGACAATAAGAAACCAAAGAAGAATATAAAGGTTTGAAACATATTACCATTTGATATATACCGGTACACAATATGGTCTAAATTAGGGAATACCCCTTGCACCTTAACTTAATTCAATAACCTTTGGAGTCTTATAAACAGTAGCAATATTCTGTATACAGTATAGCAGAATTTTGTTTTTCTAAACACCTAATTTAGAAGAAATTAATGTATTTTTACATATGATATTTCAAATATTTTGTATGTTTTGGCTGGGTCTAAAAGCCTCACAGTATCAGATTGGTACTACCAACTGAGCAACATGGCCAGATGGATTTAAGACTTTAAAGAGGCAGTTTTAGCAGCACTTGCTGCAACCAAGAAAATATGTACACCATCAAAGTTCCACCATCTTTTCCTAAGATTCAAGCCTCTTTCTTGCCTCAGCCATTCCTTCCCTTAGCCATTCCCTAGGTCTGCACAACCTTATTCACTGTTGACCATGAACAACAGCAGTTTCTCAGAAGAATGGATTGTTATTTTGTTAATGTTTTTGTATACAGTAGATAACATTCTCACTTTCCATTTAATGTTTTATTTTGTAGGCAATGAAATTATATTTGACTTTAAATTATTTATTGCGATGAACTGCAATTGCTATTAATTAACAATCCTGTTTATATTTTTTCCAGCTTTTGTCATCATGAAATTTCCTCAAGCAAATAATACAATTTTAAAAGCTGTTATGACACAAGAGTGCAAAGAATTTAGGCTGTCAATGGAAAACCGAAGAAAGAATCAGGAAGATCTTAGCAACAATTAAGGACAGTAGGATGACTAAATAAATTATAGTATTATAATTCATTTTTTTATATTTACAGATGTATCTTTTACTCTTTAACATAGTCAAATGTTTCACTTCATTTTGTAATATGGTTTTCAATATATGTGCATTAATTTACTTCACCTGGTAATACTGTGTCTGAGTGATTTAATGATAATTAAAGGTGTCATGCAGTAGTTTGTGTGGATCACATGTGAACCACATGTGAACGTCAAAACAGACTAACATGTGAACCACATGTGGTTGTTCCAGATCCACATGTACTGAACCACATGTGACTCACATGTGATACTACCACATGTGATACTACCACATGTGAACCACATGTGATACCACCACATGTGAACCACATGTGATATAATGGTTCCAATTTCACATGTGAGTCACATGTGATTCCACATGTGGTTTTCGCATGTGTTTTTTTCGTAAGGGTCCAGCCCGAACAACTGAGGATGGTCTCGATAGCTAATTATTGAAAATATCTGACAGAAAAAGAAGTTTTAAAACTATGATATACTATAATACACAAGTCTTAACCAAACGGTATATTCTGGAAAGTAACTGCAAAAATAAAACTATTTTAAGTCGGCTGGTTACTTTTTTGCAATTGGACATGTTCAAAATGGAAACGTGAAATAAAAAAGATGATAAAAGCAGTAAACTTGAATCCAGGTCAGAACACATCGAGTGTTTGGAGTGTTTGGAGTGTTTGGAATGTTTGTTTTTTTTCTTTCAAGGTCTGAGATGAACAATTACTGGAACTGACATGGAATGTCGCATGACTTACTGAGCTAAGGGGATGAAGGCTGACGATGTTGAACATATATTATAGTAATAATAGTTTATAGTTTATTATATATTATAGTAATAGAGTTGATGTTCGCGGGCATAAATGTGTTTTTGGCCCTCCTCGCGGAACACATTTTAACCCTCGCTACGCTCGGGCTAAAATGAGTTCGAAGTCGGGCCAAAAACACATTTATGACCGCGAACATCAACTCTATTGTTATATTATTATCACTATAACATACACATGAGTATATACAAAATTAGTAAAATACAATAATTAGTAAATACAATAATTAGTAAATACAAAATTAGTAAAATACAATAATTAGTAAATAGATTTGAATAAATATAGTTCACCTGGTGCAAGGTACTTTTTAATGATAACTCCAAGCTTATACTTTCTGGATAATTTAATACATTCTATAGGGTTTATTGATCAATATAGGGATAAGTATCATAAAATTGTTTGGCTGTTGGGGTGTATAAACTATCAAAACTACAAAATTATATCCTGTCAAAATTTCGAATTCTAAAATAATGCCGGGTTTATGGTCATTTGAATTTGCTTGCTACTTTTATAATATGCAAAAAAGTAGACGGTAGACACTGATTTTAAGTTCAAATTTATAATATTTCGAAAATATATTATGCATTATTAATTATATAACATACCTTGAATAAATTTGAATTTTACATGATTCAAGAACATTTTCATTTGTATACCGAACTGTTTCGCCTTTGGATTTGATTCCGTTCATTAGTCAAAGTACACTTCAAGATGTCGGGCTTCCGTTCAAAATTGTCGAGGCCAGGGATATGACGGTGCTAGTGCTGTGTCCAGCCAGGAAAAAGGTATTTCTGGGAGAATATTAGAGAAAAACCCGAAGGCTTTGCATGTTCATTACTCCAGTCATCGTTTAAACCTTATTGTTGCCAAAGCGTGTTCAATTCTTCCAGTGAAAAATATTTTGAGTCAGGCACAAAATATCGCCAGCTTTTTTATCAGTTTCCCTATCCGCTCACAGTATCTAAGTAAAAAGATGAAAGAGTTTGGTTTAACCCGTAACAAGCTCGCAAACCTTCCACGACACGATGAGTAGAACGAATAAGATCCCGCGATGGTTGTTTGGATGCATTCAAAGTTATCTACGAAACACTCAATTTTATGCAGTTTGGAGGATCGCAGGAAGGGCCATTTCCTAGATTAGCTAGTGACGCACAGTCTCATTTTCGCAACGTGGAGAAATTTGAATTTATGGCTGCTCTCATTATCACCCAACATGTTCTGGATCATACTTTGTCATTGACGGTCCAATTAAAGAAGAAAAAAAAATCTATATTGCGGAATCAATAAAACAGATTAATCTTTTAAAGGATGAAATGGCAAAACTACGTGCCTCTGTAGATTTATTCCAAAATGAATACTACGACAAGCTGTTGGAATTAGCTAATAACCTCGACGTGGCTGAGTGTTTTCCCCGGGTATGTAAAGCTCAAACAAAATGTGATAATAATCGTACCAGTACAGCAGGTGGTTACAACAGATTAACAGTAACCATTAAGAGTCGTGCATAGGCCACGTGATAACGAAACATTCTGAGCTCATCAATGAACAATTGTAAAGGTTTTATTGTAACTCATAGGAAAACCTAAGGATATATTTTGTAAAATCTATTATATTACGAGTGTCTTTCCCTAAGTCTACCGACCCCTGAATTCCCCACGCTATCGTCACCCTGTAATAAATAAGTAACGTTGCAAGTCCTCACCTTCAACCACAAGGATTAAATTACGTAATTCGAAGTGCAAAATTGAGATTACCGGTTTCTGAGTTTACCGGTTTATAATGCTCAGTATTTAATAATCCGTATAAGACAAATTTATCATTATTATTACTTGACTTACGGATTCATTAAGTTTATCCTCGTCTTAACTCAAAAAAGTTTTCAAAGGACTTGCATCCAGAAGGGATTTACCAGGAACAGGCTAAAATTAAACAGATGTTGAGATTAATGCACGATGATGATTCGTGATCTTAAAATTGCTACCTTTTAAACTCTTCACGAGTTAATAAGCCTTGACTGTTCCCTGTGAAAGAAAAATAGGTAAATATAGTCATATTATAATATATATATTTCCTCCATATTGCAAAGGTAATTTCGCTTGCCTTCAGTTTCTTCCTTGTGTAACAGTGTCTTTGGAATCTGGTACGACATCAATCTGAAACGATTGTAAAATGAAAAAGCTAGTCTAAATCAAAGATTTCTTTCTTTTCTGCTTCCCCTGCCAGTCATGTTAGTAGCAATATAAGGGATGGATAGTGAATGTTCTTGCACGAAATAAATTTCATGCAAAGCGAGTTTGAAGAGAAATTCTTACCATAAAAGCGCTTGGTCCATATCTCGGACTACGACTCAAATATCGAGTTCGTTGAACAAATGCCGAACCAAGATTCAACTTTTGACCGGAATCTTGTAATAAAATCGACGAGGGTGAAGATCTGCCGTGTTCTGTAAGCAGCATCTTTTGTTCTGCGCTGTCTAAAATGTTGGCAGATAATTTGTTCATTTCGTAAATGCGCGAACAATGGCCGATCTGTTTTAACATTACAAACCTGACTCCTTGAGTTCGGTTTTCTTCATTTCAACATCATCCCGGGTATCTTCAATATTAGTTTCCTCATCTTCTCTACACGATGCGAGGCGATCTTTGACAAGATCTACAATCAATGTACGCTGTCTGTGCTCTTGCTAAGAAGTTCTGTTGTAGTTTCAAGGCGTTTTCTGGCTCCTTCTTTAATGAGTTCGGCCGATAAATCATCTGAAATACAACAATATCAATTTGACATTCCGCCAACGGAATGCCCAACCGAAACATTGAACAGGTTTGACCCATCGTTGACCTTACCAAAGAGTTGTTTTGGAATTAAACTTTCATAAATCTCAGTCTTTCCCACCGCTGGTCGTCACAAGATGTTTGAGTCACAAGATTTCTGTACTGAGCCTACGGTACCAGTGGGCTTTAAATCGCGGGTAAGAAGGTCAGATGCTTTGGTATCGAATTTTGTGTTTGGCACCTGGCTAGAATCATCTGCACGAGTTTTTCTATCAGTTGAAGAAGCCTGGAAATGACAAATACGTTCCTAAGAGCTTTCACTAGAAGAATATTAAAACTTGGTCGCTCTTGCAAATATATCTATTGAAAATTCAGCAAGCAATCCCCCTGGCAATAGAATGACATGTGGACTTACTTTTGTAATAAATGGCACGAATTGTTTTCTTAACAATAGCGGACAGTTGACAAACCAGGATGAAATGACATTATCAGCAAGAGCTACAATGTATTGAGAGTATCTAAGGTGAAACATATCAGTTCGTTTATATTTTAATCATTTTGACAAAACCAATAATAAAAAAGCAGATGTTATCGCGTTGAGCCAACTTCGATGATTCTGTGTAAGGCAAACATATTCCAAAGACTTGTTTCACTGGATCGCTGTGAAGTTTTTGTACAAAGCACAAAGCTGTTACAATGCGATTTAAACGATTTAAAAGAATGTTACCAACTTTTCGCCGAATACGATTGTGTGTTTACACAACCTAGCTCTCTTTAGGGGGTACATTGATATTTTGTAACAGATTTCATAATTTACGTAACTTCAAGAAACATACCAGAGGGAAATTCTAGCAGTGGTATGGCAACTTGAGACGTTGGCGAAAGTTTAGTAAACTTTTCCAGATATTGTGGGAGCAGTCTAAGGACAGAAAATTTAGTAATTATTACTTAAAAAATCATATATTTGTGAAGGAGTATCTCGCATCACAAGAGACGTTACGTTTAGGCTGGAGTTTATTGAAAAACGTTTCTGTAAATTCACTGAGCACATTATCAAGGCACGATTTCAAATATCTCCAAAGAAATAAACTTCTAAAACGCTACAACTACTTAAATCAACTTCGTTCTTACAAAGTGCTAATGGAAATAAAAAACGTCTCAAATTCCAGACTATTTTAAGTAGCCATACCTTGCCATAACTGAAGGCATTTCTAACATACATACGGTGAGACAAGATACGCTTAACGTCGCGAAATGAGCAACCAAGTACGCATCAGATAACACTAGACGAAATATACAACAACGTTTAAGCAAGAACAGACAACCGCTGAAATAAAGTCACGCAGATTCTTACCTGTTCATTTTTACCAATAAAAATGTGGTACGTACACAGCTCCGTTAATACCTGCACGTGTTACAATAAAATATCCAATTAAATCATTAGTATGGTATGATATAATTATGGTATGATATGCATGGTTATGGTATGGTATGATTTCGTTATGGTATGGTATGGTGTGATATTATTTATGGTAAGATATGGTTATCGTATGGTATGATTTAGTTATGGTTAGTTATGGTATGATATGATTATATGATATGATTATATGATATGATTATATGATATGATTATATGATATGATTATATGATATGGTATGGTTATGGTATGGTATGGTTTTGGTATAATTATGGTAAGATATTATGATATATGCAAAAAACTGATTGATAAGAACCGTACTGGAAAAATTCTAGCGTACAAATGAGGTCGGCGCATATCGTTAGGA